AATTATATACTCTCGAGTGCCGCGCAATCTTTTTTCAGCAAGACTTGCGCTTTTTCAGCGTAATCGAATGAGCAGCTCGCGGCGCCCGAGCACCGAAATAAGCAGCTTTTTCCTTCAATTTTATCCCACAAAACATCCAACCGCAAGATAAACGCACAATTTTTATCTGCGAAAAAAGCGTGAATTAGTAGAAAATTCCATCACGGTGTAGATACTAAAATTTTATTATTCACTTTAGCAGTAGTTTTAGACTGTGCGAAAACACTAACAATTTATTGTTATATTCAAACTTGAGCCAATAAAATCTGACTGCTTGTATTGAGAAGTAAAGTTAAAGAGACGCCGAAATTGGCGCACACCACAATGAGAGGAGGGGAGAATTTATTGACTCTGTTGCTCCGACACCATAAATAAGTAATAAAAAGAGACGCATGTATATTAAAACGGGCGGCGCGAAAAGCTGCGTCTCGGTAATTTCCCGATTTAATTTGGCCTGCAAGTCTTTTTGAAATTCCCTCTTCCAGTCGCAGGCAGCCAGATCTATCATCTGCAAGTCAAATATTTAATCCCCGAGGAGGAGAATGCGGGCTGCTTTTCTCTCTCTGGGTTTTTTTCTCTGGCCTGGACGGAATCACACGTCAAATAATACGCTGCCAGTCACTCTCAGCGCGGCGAGGATTTAATTTTAAATTGTGCAAGCGAGCGAGGTAAATACTAGGCCAATAAAGCAGGGGGCTAATTTCGGCAGCGCGCCGAGCTCGAAATTTATATCAGAAGAGAGCCTTTTGTGTGTGCGAACGGCTTTTTACGCGTGTAATAAAATGGGAGCTTCAAAGGAGGAAAGACGAGAGAGAGAGAAAGGTCATGCGTGGCAATCGAAATTGTTTCCCTGAAGCAATTAGCCGCCGGTGTTCAAAAGCATGTTTCTTTGATTGTGGTCATTAGAGAATGAAATTTGTATAAATTTTTTTTAGAATTTTGAAGGCATAACTTTACACCCAAATAATTATATAATAGTTCCTAACTAAGAAAAATTTACTTAGATACAAAACTCATTTCCAGGCATAAGGATTTCCTCTTTTTCCAAATCAAATTAAAGGCAAGAGTTCCCGCTTTTTCCGCTTTTTAAAAGGCAAAATCAATCGAGCTGCGAGGGTGGCCTCTCATCTGGCAAAGTGCTAAAAGTAAAAAAGTCCAATTCGATACATTGGGCGGTGCAAATTAAAGGCCGAAAATAACCACAGAGTCGGCAGAAAATTCGATTGGTGGTGAGAGCGAGAGAGTATCCTTTGACTGAGGGCATATTAACAAAATTGCAATATCAAGAAGAAAGCAGCCGGCAAGAGTGGAGAGCGCGGGCTGCATCTGCTGATGACAGCTTTTATGATTTACTCGCAGGCCCTGGTGGTTGCTTCTGGTTTTATACATTCGCCCCCGCTAGCTCTCTTTCGTTCTTTCTTTCTTTCTCTCGCTCACTCCTCTCCCACTGTTGCAAAAATCAAAGGAGAGCTTGTTAGTTTTCACTTTTGCCGCCCTCTCTCCAATTCCAATGACTTAAAGATCCATTAATGAGTCTCCGAGTTGTGCCGCGTCCGCACAGGGGGAGAAAAAGTTGCGAAAAACTTTCTTTTTCAAACATCCACCCGGCGTGGTGTATTACTTGTTATACGGTCGTTTCTTTTGCTGCTTTTCTCCAAGTGTGAGCGCGGAAGAGAAAAATATATAAAAGAGAAGCGCCCTCATTGGACAGGTTGTTTTCCTCTTCGCTTTTTTTCAGATATAATAAGAGGTCTCATCTGCAGCTGAAGGATAACGAGACAAGCATAAAACCAAACAGCCCCATTTGGAACGCTAAATTTACAAAATAAAATTTGAGACGCAACAGCAGCGCATCAGTGAAACGAAGTAACGCGCCACTGCGGAGCCGAGTCAGCACATGACCCTTCTTAAATGCCACACCATGGTTCTGCTCCATTGGCCAAAAGTATTTTTTTTTCGCCATACACACATCATGACAGGCAAAATCTGTCTCTCTAGGCATTTTCTTAATTTTAAGTCAACCTGCAAAATTGAAAAGCTTTAAATTATACAGAAAAAATTTATTATCCATCAGTCTGTCATTATTTGTCCATTTTTTTTTTTAAATTTGATGGATTTGGGAACAAAAAATGTTAAAGTTGGACTCCATACCTCCCAGTTAGAAGAGTGAAAAAAATCCGATTTTTTCCTGTTGAAGAACTGACTGGCCCGAGGGCACCAATTTAATTAGTAATTACAAAGCAGATTTGAGAGATTTTCCAATATTAAGTCCCGTGCGTGGCCGCGGTATTAATAAAATCGCCATTAGGCAGCCGTGGAACGCTCACTTTTTGGTGTAATTAGGAGGGGCGCGCTCTAATTTATGGCTAATTACGACGCTGCTTTCACCTGTTTTTGCACGATCACCAACTCACGGGCTGGCTGGAAAAAGTTGAAAACAGGACAACTTTACATGCAGGCGCGCTCGTAAAATGGGCGGAGGGCAAAAAGTTGGGCCCAAATCAAATTAATTATCTCGCTGCGAGGGGGTATTAAGTGCAGGGGTGCAGGCAAAAAGGAGGCAGGGCCATTTCTTTTCGCGCCAAAAATTTTCGCGACGGCAAAATTATGAGTCGCTGCGTGTACTGCACAATAATGATGCTGGCCGATCTCAGAATGTGTAAAAAGTTGTTAATAATGTCAGCGACGGTGTGACGTCGTGCACTTGGGGGCAGTGATGCAAAGGGTAGTGCTTTTAACGGACGGGGAGTGCGAGTTTTATGGCCGACGGTTTTTAATGTTTTAAAAGCACTGCTTCTGCGCCCGTTTTAAGAGAGAACAGGCACTTTTACAAAACCTTTCAGAGCAGCGTCCTTGAAAGTCTTAAAATTTGTGGAATTTCTTGCTCTCTTAAATTCTCATCATTTTTGACGACTCTCTTAAAACAAATTTTGGGGGGCAAAATGAAAAAAGATCATGAAATGAATTTTTTTAACACCACAATAATATTTGAAAACTTCTCTTTATTTTTATGAAATATAATTTTTTTTCACTCCCCTAAAGCAAAACACCAAAATGGGTTAAATGTTTGCTGTGAATATCTCTCTCAAAATTTCGCTCTCGCAAAGTGAAAAATCTGCGCCATCCGTTTCAGCAAAGCGGAGCTCGGCATATTGCAGTCGCGGTGGCGGCAGGTAAATTAGCATGAGGGTCGGCTGATGATGAATCACTTGCCCTGCGCTTTTTGGCCAAAAATTTTAATTATAACCAGCTGGCAAATCTGGAAAAAGAGGGGGTGCATCGCACACCATGAAATGCTACTCCACTTTGGGTTCACTGCAATAATATTGACCCTTTTAATATAATGCTTGCAATTTTTTATATTATCTTTAAAAAAAATCATGTAACAAAATTTTCATTAATTATCAACTTAACTTTTTTTTAATTAAATTCAACCAAATAAAAAGATATTTTGGAGAACAAAGTATTGACCAATGCTAAAAGTAAAATCATCAAATACAAAATAACACAATTTTATATAAAAATTATGTACATAATTACTTCAAAATCCATTTTTTTTTCACAATATTACCTGTAAAGATTTTTTGAATGTTGGCATTTATTAAAAAAAATATGGATTCCATTTATACATAATAATTAAAATTTTTAACTTGCACCTTGATATATTTTATTAAACTTCTTTCTGCACCATCATAATTCATAGGCTTGTCGAGGCAGTATAGGGAGAATTCCAGAGCGCAAACACACGTACCGCCTGCTGCATGCATTAACTCCTTAACGTCTCTGTTAATTATTTTAATTGCGCTCCGAACCTCGGCTGCTTGAAAGCAGCAGGGGAATGAAGGGTACAAAAAATTTTGGTAAATAATGAATGTAGGCACACAGACTTGGGAAACTAAAACGCTGAACGCTCCGGAATTTATGCGTCTCGAGAAAATAAATTATATTGTCAAAATGAAGGGGCGTGAGAAATTAGAAAAATTGTTGCTATTCCCATCATCACCCGAAACGCAAATATTTTTCTGGCTATAAAAACAAAACGGTCTGACAAAAAATTCAGCAAAAATGAAAAAAAAAATAATTTAACAAAAAATTAAACATTTGAGTGGCAATTGGGACCGAATAAGCGCCACTCGGGGCGAAAAATGTCACGGCCTGGAGGGGTGGAGGGAGGGTTTGATTCATGCACGCGAGGGTGGTCACCCCCACCACCGCAGGGGTGCACTCGGCTATTTTAAACATTCAGCGCGGCTCCTTATTACGCCCTGTCGGCAGGCAAGTCCGCAACACGCCGCCTCCGCCGCTCTGGCAACAATAGTCGGGGGACGAGAGTCGCGAGCACACGTGTCTCAAATTCGAAAAGTCCCACGGCACCTGAGCAGAAACAGGGGCCCCGACGACTAATGCCTTGGAAAATCAAATGAGAGGCAAACGAGAAAAGTTGGTCGGGGGAGACGAAAAAAGCTGCTCCTTTTCTTTTTCGCCTTTAATTAGCAGGCGCGGCCGTGTCGAGACGGAGCCTCCACTTTTGTATGCTCTTTGATGGTGCTGCTTTTTAATTAAATTTAATGGAGGAGACACAAATATACACATGAAGAGCTTCGAGAATAGGGGCCGAGTCGATTTGGAAAACTTAGAAATTTGCAGAGGGCTTTTTTACTCGTTGTTTGCTGAAGAAAAAAAAAGAAGTCTTGGCATTAAAACGCAAGCTTTAATTGCATGGTTAATTTTTAATTAAATTGCAAATTTTTAAGTCTAATTCAATTGATATCATGACCATTCAATTTTCTTTATGAGGTTTGAATTGAATTTTTCGTTATAGCTCAAAGTTCACTTATTTTTTATCCAGGCAAAAAATTCCGCAAATTTTTTTCCGAGAAAAATTCGACCTTGAGCATTGTTGAGCATTTGGAGCGCCCTTGGATATCGGACTAAAGGTGAAGCACCGGTGAAACTCTTACCTTTCTTTCTTTGCGTGTAATCCAAGATCTTGCTGCTCGTGGGCGGCTGGACGTCTTCAAGAAGTCTCTCTCGCTTTCGCGAAATCACAAAAATGACACTGGCACCGAATTTTCGGCGAACCTGCCACGAACGGAATCAAATGCACTGCGGACACCGTAACAGCGAAGCGACCTTGTCAAGAGTTCCTCCGGGGGTGGTTCGGGGGTGCGTGTTGTTGGCGCACGGTGAGCACTGGACACACGGCCACCGACGTAGGATCCGCTCACGGCCACGGCTCGACTCGCAATGCGGCGACCCAGTGCTTTGCCGTCGCTCGGCCTCCCCTCCACCGGCGCGCGGCGTGTTTCTCTCTCTTCGCCCGCTCACTCTTTTTACACCCCCTTTGCACTGACTGACTGTGCATTCGCTCTCTGAAAACATAAGTAGAGAAACAAAATTGCTGCAGCTGCCCAATTTCGGAATTTAAGGTGACCTTCAGGTAACAGAGATGACAGTAAAATCATTTTTATCTTCAGCATAACTGCCACTTCTTAGCAACAATCAAGTTTTTTTAATATTAGTTACATAATTGTTGTTGTTTATTTGTCCACATTGTTTTCAATTGTTAAAAACAATTTTTTTAAAGGAAATTTGTTTAAATTTAATTTGCTTGCATGAGTTTAATATTTAGTGCGCTGTATTACAAATCATTTTCCTGATAATCGTATTTTCTTTTTATTAAAGTAATAATTTAAATATAATTATATAAATATCATTTTTTTTTTTTTATAAAAATGATATTGTGTGCTTATTTCTCTGTTGATATTAACAGTATTTTGAGGAAAATTTGTATTGTTAAAAATAAGGTACATCAAATTAACACTATTCATCAGTGAAACGAGAATCGTCAGAGGAAAAATGCGATCACTTGATTCTAAATTTAAATTATGTAAATTTTACCAAATAGAAGTATTCAACTATAATAATAATTTAAAACTTCAATTTAATAGAATTGTCAGTGTCTCCGCTCTAAAATTATAATAAATATATAAATAATTTTTTTTCTTCATGACGACCGTTAACTATCCAACATCTCCGCGTTACAAAGAAAAATGAAAAAATAAAAGGACACCTGTCCCTAAAAATTGAAATGCTTTTCCATTGCACCCATTTACAATTATACTTTCGTTAGAAATTTAATTAAACCTAATTTAATTTGAGTAATTTAAAATATAAAGTGAAAAATTGATTTCTACGTGGTTTTATAAAAAGTTTCATTCCGGTATGTTATTCTTATGGATTTTTTTTTTAAATTTTAAATTAATGCCTATAAAATAAAGCATTCTGCCAAGCAAGTTAGTATATATTAATAGAAAACGTTCATCTCTTATAAGCGTAAACGTGTCCTCGGTCCCGGCGTCTGGCGTGCACCAGTACATTATAGCTGTTGTATGTGGTTGATTTTCTTATAAGCCGTACGAGTGGTCTCTTGAAGAGTATCGCGTTAGACACTTTCTTAAACGCGACGGCGCCCGCCGTGTCTCTTTTTATAATCCCTGTTGCACAACGAGACAGCAAATGGAATTCCGTGTATAGGAAATTATCTCGACACCTTAAATGTTTTGTTTTTTTCTATTGCAGTCGCGTCTGTCAGACTGTATACAAAAAGCACGGACGCTCGTTTGTTTCTTTGGAATTATTATTGTATACATATAATAAAGCTGCGCCAAGTGTTCTGCACAAAATGAGTTTTGCAGTGAAAAGGTTTAAAATTTGATAAAAAGCCGAAAGAAGAAGTGGTTTTTTGGGCTCTTGTGCCGGACGGGCGCGAAAAGTTCATTAAGAATACAATTCCAGCACTTGTCGGAGGAGTTGTAATATCAGCAGAATTCTATAAATTGTATCTCTCCAGCGGCCAGCAGACAAAGAGTGCCCCAGGAAAGAAAAGCACATGCAAAAGTGAGCCGGCAGCATATTTTTGCTCTCTGAAAAGAGAACCGTATTATTACTCACGCGGAGCACAGGGGCTATGATTACCATTAATAAAGCGGCTTTATTATTCTTTTCGTCGGTGGCGTGGCGCGGCCACCAACACTCTCTCCTTCGCACTTTTGTGCTGTGCCATGCATAGGGAAAGAGAAGAGCCCGTTTTAAATTGCGCCGTCGAGGGAGCAGAAGAGAAGGGTCAAATTAACCAACCTGACGTCGCGTGGTCCCTGGTGGGATGGCACACTGGCGACTCGACAGAAAGAAAGAAAGGAAGCTCCTTTTTCTCTGTGCAGAAGACGAGAACGACGGGTGACTAAAATAATAAGGACAAACAAAAAGCTTTATTCAATTTGGAGGTACTTTCGCTCCACTTTTTACACTCCATTAGGAAACAATAATGATAGGAGAAGATACCAAAGTAGACAGTTTTCAGACTTGATTTGGCCATTAATCTCTACTACTTAATTTAATTTGCGACCGAATCAAAGCACAAAAGCTATTGTATTAATTAGAGTCCCCACTTTCTATCAGACCTTTCAAAGGTTTAAAAAATGATTGAACACTGGGATCTATTAAATATTTTGGATTTTGTATTGGGTTTCTAATAATTTTTTTTTTAATACTTTACATTTATGCTGTAAAATAACAAAATCAATTTCACTTTTTGTTTTATTCTTATAAATAAAATCTGCCTTTGGCTTTTTCTTCAGTTATAAACTGTCATATTATTTTGCCATTTGTCTGCTAGAATAAAGATTAATTTTTAATTTAATGAACTTGTGTTTGGAAGCTAATTTTAAAACAGCACATTCTCAGCACACATAAATTAAAAAGTCGCAAAAAATATTTTTAATTATTTAGTCTTTAAATACACCACAACTCGAAAGATAATGAACCTAGGACGGTCCAGGTATGTTTTTTTTGCGGCGAGAAGCAAAGGACGAGTGAAATAAATTGTGAAGGTCGTCGCCACTAGCTGCTTGATGCCGCCGAGCTAAATTTCTTCTTTGCTCTTGATGATGATGAGATGAAAATGAATACATTTTTTGTCGATTCCGCGATAAAAATGCTAAAATCGGATGCTGCTCGCGCGCATAATGCCGTCGACGAGTGAGCCAACGAGAGAGACAGGTGATGCCTGCAAAAAATAAATTGCCGCAAAGCAGAGTTTTGGATTTCATCGCGATGAAGTGCTGGGCTGGGCTTTTTGGCCGACGAGCGGCAGCCGCACGAAAAAGTGTCATCACGCCGGCTGATGGTGCCAAAGTAGACGAGACGAAGAGGGAGAGAGGAGTGCGCGAATAATACATTTCAAGCGTCTGCCGAAGTTGACAGCTCTTGGCAGATTTTGCTGCAAATATTTGTGGCATTTGCAAATGTGGCATGCGAGAGGAAGAAGAAGAAGAATGAAATAAATAAACCCACTCAAATTGAGACGTGATACAGTTTTGCGGTTCACAAATGGAATTTTTCTCTTCTTTTGTGGTCTAGAAAACGGAAATAAAAAATTGATTTGTATATTTAAAAAACGTGTGAATTTTTTGAATAATAATTTTTGTATGATTTCTCCAAGGTGGCTATAACTCGTTTGGAGTAGCCGAACCCTCTCTTGGCATGAATACCTAAAAGTGCTCTCAACGGCTAGATGGAAGCTGCTGAGAAGTAGAGATTTCCAATACTGCATATAAGCGCACGTTAATAGCGAGAGAAGTGCATTTGGCGAAGTGTTCGCCACTCTCAGCGATGATAAGTGCGCGCCTGCCGCCGCAAAGGTTTTAATTTCGGGGTTCATGCAAGTCTCTCGCGGCAGCAGTAAATGTTTACGACGCGATTATTAGAAAGAAACACAGCGAGCAAGTCGGGCGAGCAATAATAAATATTTACAGCAGCAGCAGCAGCTTGAGATTTTCCTCCTCTAGCTCTGCGGTAAAGAGATCGGGTTGTCTGGTTGACCTTCAGGTGGAGAGATGCTGATGAACCTGCGCGCGGCGGCATCTCTCCTCCCGGCCGCCGCGGTCCACCGAAAGTGACGTCAGGTGCGAGCACCAAGAGAGAGAGCCCGCGGGCGCTTTTTGAGGCGCGTGGGGCCACGAGACCTGCTCAGGGACGCCAACTTCGGAGCGCAAATGACGCCGGCCGACGGAACGCTTCGGGAAATTCGTGGTGTGTGTTTGATTTTGAATAGCTGGACTTGTGTGCCTGCGAGAGGGAGGAGTGACTGCTCTCATGTATCATTGATAGCACTCAAAGGCTGAAGGGTATTTTGGGAGTTGCATGCGCGAGTACCCGCTGGAATTTAATGACAAGTGATGAATTACAAGCGGCTGCTGAGTGTATGGCTCACTTGGAGAGAACATAAAATAAATAGCAATTAATCAAAACGAATTTTTATATGTTAAGTCTGCTGTTTTTTGTAGAACAATTTGTTAAAATATTTATTTTAACTTCACTCAAGGTTACAATTCTTAAAGATAATTGCACAAATATTATTCAGTTGAAAACGCAATATAATATTACTATTAATTGGATCATAATTTATCAATAGCAAACAAGAAATTTTAATGGCATATCAAGTGTTTTTTTTTATCTTTCCTCTATAGACAAAAAAAAAATAAACATTTTCTTGTAAGAAGTTTAAAGAAAAATATTATTATGTAAATGACAATGAAGTGCTTGTTTAGAGGTTTGGTCAGATTAGTAAAAAACTACATTAGCATTATATACCAATCCAACAATAATTATTTCCAGGTGCACATTATCAAAGTATTTCTACTCCAGATTTTCATTAATCAAGCAATTACCAGAACCTTGGAAAAAATGGCCTTCAAACCCAGTTTTTGCAATAAAATATATATATATTTTTTGAGTTATTTTGTTTTGATTCAATGTAAGTATGACATGAAAAGGAAAGTAATACTGAGATACAATTTTAAGTCTTATTATTATTCCTTTCATTAATATTAAATCTCGAAATCTAGATTTTGTTTGATTTTCTAAGGGCGTGTTTGATAAAAAATAAAAAGTTTTTTTAAAGGAAAAATTATTGTTCTCAAATAAAAAAAATATAATTTCCTTCCACCTCTTTTAAAATTGATCCCGGCATTGCAATTGCTACTTTGTCCTCTTTTTATATCCACTCTACCCACTGTTTTTTTTTTGCGCCATTTATTATCATAGCGATCTAAAGAACAGGAGCCGATGCTGGGTTATTCTAGCTTGAATCACAGAGCTGAGAGTTTTTTGTTGTATACCAAATCAATAATGCTGCGAGCCTCTCCCGAGCATAAAAATATTGACGTGTCTTTTTTTCAGAATTTAATGTTAC